GATTTATTGACTGTAGGTAGGATAAACTGGACATAAACCCTTTGACTCATATTCCCAGTGAGGGATGTGAACAGAGTTCTCACAGTCAACCTGAAGTTCACATACTGTATATAATACATACGCTTAGGTCAGGTCAGGTCAGGCTGGGGGAGCAGGCGCTAATGCAGCACGTTGCTACACCCACCACACAGTGAAACTTCTCGGGATCCCAGCCGGCGACCCCCCAGGCAGACACACGGCCCAGTCCTACCCTCCAGAAATGGACATCCATCTGCCGCAGCCAGGTGTTACGTGTGCGTCCCCTTGGCCTGTTCCAGCTGCTTGGGTCCTCAGCAATGAGGATCCTGCGAGCCGGATCACCCTCAGGGAAACGCGCCACATGGCCATAGTGCCGTAACCGACGCACCCTCACAATGCAGGTAATATGCCTTGTAAGGCCACAGGCCTTGCAGGCCCCACTGGTCTGACCTATGATAAACCTGCAATGTTTCACCAAGTGTCCTAAGGCAAAGGTCCACCGGCTCCGACAAGACTGGACCCAAATCACCAGATCACCACAACAAAAGGGACACCTCACCCCCACTGGGCGGCCAGAACCTCGCAGCCAAATTCCAGCGACAAGGCCTGGCTGCGTCAAGACACAGATGCATCCTACACTCGCTAACTCACACCAACACAGGAGGTATTACCTCAGACTAACATTAGGGACACATACACCCATGTCTGGTCTCGTTTGAATGGTCACAGTACGACGGGCACAATACTCTCAACCTTAACGCAGTATGTTCTCACATAATTTTTATTTGGTGCATGCTGTCACTTGGTTTGGAATACTTAAGGAAGAGCTCCAGAGTAGCACGGGGAGACACTCTGTAATCAAAGCTCCCACATAGTGCTGCGTGAATCGACATCTGTAATCAGGTATTTTCTGCAGTTACTCTTTGTCCACTCAGCTGGGGTATGGAATTGTTTTGACTGGATGGTATAGTTTAGGAATTTGTGGCCACATGTTAGAATTACATTAATGTTATATTTGGTTAAATTGATCTGTCTTGTATTAGTTGTGAATAAACTGTTTTGATTACTTCTCGGCTGTCTGACTTTGCTAACCACTGCATGTTTTCAGTAGATTGGGGTTATTTCCCCAGTCAGAGTCAAACTGCCATTTGGCTCGGATATATTAGCTTCATTACATCTAACACTCTCTTGCAGCCTCTAACTCGACCCCGTTTCTCCAGGACCCGATGCAACTGCCCAAGCTGAGTTACGGCAAAAGACCGGCTCAGCCTCTGAGGCGCGCACGCGCTG